TGTACCACTCTGGTTCGATTTCCATCAGGCGTGTTGATGAGACCAGTTCAGGCGGGGTCGAAATTACTGTCCAGTTTAGTGCATTATGGACGGGAATAGTTTTTTGAGCAGCAACACTAACTGCAACTCAATGACATCATGATACTTTGGAAAAATTCCATTAATCGTCCTATGCAATCGTGGATGATTAGAATTTTTAATGAATTGTTCAATCAACCAATTCATTTTCAAATGGCGAATAATGGCAATTCATAAATTGATCTCACCGGATTGGTTGACTCTTTCACGCTTGCCGACAGGGTCTATGACCAAACGGCTGCATCTTTATCAAATTAACTTTTATTTTTAACCCTCCACTGTTGGCGTATGCCAAGAGGAGGAAGGACTGGTAGCTGGATTTTCCCACAATCAATGCCATTGAATCTCGACAAGTTAACCACTACGTCAGACTGCAATGTATCACATGGAAGATGTGAATTTCTCATATCACATTGTGTGGTGAGATTGTCTATAAGACGAGGCTATATTTGCTGTACTAGTCGATTATATTGTAGATAGGAAAAGTAAGTGGGTTTCGATGAATCTCCTGAGTTAACATTGTTGGAGGGACTTTCATTTTGTATGAAAGTGCATGAAGAAGACATTTGTAGGTCGATCTCACCAGAAGAGGAAGGATGAATCGCGTTGGCTTTTATACGATCTTCAAGTAGACGCAGTCCACGAGACCTCCTCCCTCGTTTCGGGTGAAAACGGGCTGAGCTTTCGTCCATCAAAAGATGGACATCATCAGAGCTGGGTCTCATTCCTGTCAAAGTATCACGTTAACACTATCCGGCTCTATCTTACTTCTTATGTAGACTCAATTAAGCCAAAATAAAATTAAAAATTAAAAATTAAAAACCTAGATTGATATAGAGCCGTTTGGCTAATTATCTTTCATACTGGTCCTGCCACTTTTGCTCGATTGTGTGTGTGTGTGTGATCAAAAAAGGTTAATTTCAGCCTCTGGCCATCAAGGCTGAATGATCCAAGAGAAAGCTCTGACCGAGACTTCGTAAGTGCATAAGCAAGTATGGTTGAGATAATGAGATATGAGCTTGTAAGCATGTAAGTCAAGTTATGAAACCACATGTCCCAACCCTTCAGTCTAGAGTCATTAACGTTCAACCCTCCACGGAAATGCATAACTGGGGCTGGGTTATCTGGCAGGTCTGGTTTAGTTGATGAGCTGACTCTGACATTTTGGAAGAATGTGAGTGAAACTAGAACCATCTTTGAGCAGACAAATTGAGTCGCCTTATTTTTTGACGGCGGCTTAACACCCTCTCTCTCTTTCAACCTGCCAATCAAGCATAAGTAGTTCTTAATCAACTTTCTACATTCGGGATGTCCCATAATCTATCAATTTAAATAGCCTCTCTTATCTTTCTTTTAACCACAAACGCACCGTAATCAGCAAACCTACTAGTCTGAGACCATTTTATTTCATGTCTAGTTTCTACCATGTGTTCGGCCACTCATGACCGTTGGACACATTTTTGTCTTCTCCCAATCTTTGTCAAAATAGGCCGACATGTCTCGCCAACATGACATTGACGACATGAACAAACAATCTTGTAGCAGCTCAGTCTCGATAATGGGCCATCTTTCTCTCTAAAAGATGGCATAGCAGAAGAAAGTGTGAGGGTTTCTTTGAACAATGTTTTTATGCCCCACTTCTTTTGAGAGAAAAAAAGACGGCAGAATTAGGACATGGGAAAAGGTCTCAGTCTGTCTATCCTTGACTAAATGGTCTCCGTCTGAAAATGTATTCCTCAGTAGAAAGCTATTATTCTCAATTAGGCCCAAAGGACAATTATGTTCCAGGAATATATTTGTCAGCCGTTGCAACTCTTTAGTCAAATGTTTGCTGTCCGCTAACCTCATAATTCTAAGAATCATTGACTATGATTGGAATGAAAATTAAACAAAAAGTCAACATATGTTGGCTTCCTATAAACATCTCTAATGATGAAAACATCCGGAAGAGGTAAGGATTTCTCCTCTTCCATTTCCATCATGAACTTAATATTCCTTTCATGCTGGTTGAGTGAAGGTATGAAAATAGCTAAAGTTTCCTTCCCATGAGGCCAGATGACAAAATGGTCATCCATGTATCTAACCGACAATTTGTGTGTTAGTATTGCCTCTTGCAGGAAGTGTTCCTCCGATTTCGCCAAATAATTGTTCGCTAAGATGGAAGACAGACAAGATCCCATCGTTAATCCTTGTGTTTGTTCGTATAACTTACCACCAAATGTAAAATATGTGGTACTCATGGATAGATTAATAAGTTTAATAATGGAAGCTACACTCAGCCTTGTTCCTTGTGCTATCTCTGGATATTCCTCCAGAGTTTGTATCAGAGCTTGAATAGCTCCTTGCACAGGAATGTTTGTGTACATGGACACAACATCAAAACTTACTAACCTCTCATCTTCTGAAAGTGTCTGCTGCTCAATAAATTCCACAAAAACATACGAATTTTTAACTGAATATAACCAAAAATTGACAAAGTTCCTTAGTTGTATGCATAAAACCCGTTAGATTTTATGCATCACGCTTCCTTTATTAAATTACAATTAATCTTAGAGGGGCACCCTTTTTGTGAACTTTAGGGAGACCGTAAGCCGTGGGGTCGTTGCATCTCTCTGGAGGAGTGAATTCATTTTCCACTTCTCCATTTCACCATCACTTACGCATACCTTAGGGGCATCCTTTAGCCTACTCTAAAATCTTTTGTTAGATCTCTCAGTAAAGGCATTTTTTCTACATAACTTGACTTATCCATGACTAACACTGCTCCATCTTTGTCGGCTTTCATTACCATTAGATTACTACCACAGAGATATATGGAAGACCTACTAAGATGACAATCTTTCTTTGGCGGTCACCTCCAGTTTGATACTATTCCTTACGTCTTCAGGCAATCTATCAGATAAGCTAAATAATTCAACAAGTATTTCCATTTGGAAGAGCAAAATTCAATACTCTTTCCACTATCCTCCAGAGTTGTACTAGAAAAATTGATTACTTTATTCTTCCTCATTTTGCTACAATCATGGTTAGTACGACCTACCT